TCTCCATGTACTCGGCGTCATCTGGAGCCCGGGGATGGTGCAGCAAGCGAAGCAGCAAGCCGTCTTCGGAATCGTAGCATGACTCGAAATGTGCCCGAGACCGTTTTTCAAATCGACTCGAAAGGCACGCCTCGAGACGAGCACACTGTGGTCTGCTCAGGACAGCTCGTGCAGGAACCCATGGTGGTTCCGGAAGTCTGGGCTTCTTGCCGTTTGGTGCCTTATATGCCGCGAGGAGCTCCTGAACTTCGAAGATCAAAGCTTCGACGTCCTCACTCAAGTCTGCATCTGAACCATTCCTGACCTCCGCATCCTCCTCTGCTAGGCGTGTCTTCACGCGCAGCTGGCCGTCTCGGAAGAAGACAACGAAAGCGTCAGCATTTTGCCGCAGGAAGTGTGCATTAATTTGCACAGGGGAGTGCTTCTGAGCAGCGACGGCCGTCTTGACCGGCTGGTAGTTCAGAATTTCATTCAGATTGGTAGAGCCGCCAGAACCCAGAGCATTGCTGAGAACATCGACAGCATTCCGCACGACCTCACGCAAAGCCAAGAAATTGGCTTGATAAGCAGAGTTATCGACCATGTTGATCGAACCCTCAATCTTCTCGCTGATTAGCTGCCACGCTTTCAGAATCTTCTTCTCCACCTCAGGCGCAGAGACGTCCAAGAGTTTGCCGAAGAGATAGAGCTGGAAGAAAGCATCGTCTGCGGCATAAGCTCGCTGCTCTTGGCTTAATTTGTCGTTCTCCCAGTTGGAAGTGCCCACCATCTTCAGCTTCCGTATCGGGACATGAAAATACTGTGCCATTTTGAATAGACCACGTGGAATGCTGTGTGCATCCGCAAGATCGGCAATGTCCCAAAAGGACGACTTAACGGCCTTGGACTTAAAATCCCAGCCGAAACTCCGGAGAAGCTTCTCCTTGTCTGCCTGATCGAAGCTTGCAACGACTTTGATTACTTCGTCGCCCGTTTCCAAAAAGCTTTGGAACCAGGCTGGGAGCTCCGAGCAATTCACGGTCCTCAGAAGGACACAGGTGTCCCAACAGGCGACTTGGATCAGGGCAATTCGATTCGTTTCTGCACCTCTTTTGTCAGGCTTCCACTCGAAATCCAGTCCCACCATCAGAGGATGATTTTCCACAGAGAAAGCCGCTTGGAAGCGGGACAAGGACATGGCATCCTCAAAAATATGTTGCGTGGCCTTGTCCGACACCTCACACTCCACCACATGGCCTCCAAAGGTGGCATATTCGGCTGAAACAGGCGGCGCCATGCAGTGCAGCAGGCATCTAGATGACTGGACAACCGGCCTGGCTTGAGTGGCTCTTGAAAGTGTCAGCACTTGCTGGGAGTCTGGCCCTGAGAATCCTTCAACCCGAGAGCTAACAGCACTTGGAAACTGAGCCAAGACGTACGACATGACCTGCTCCCTTCCAGAACCGGCGTCGAGGCAATAAGACAGAGTCCGAAGCATGGGGATGACACAGAGGTGCGAAGCCCGTCAAGCCTGTCTCGTTAGTATTTGCTTTGCCACGGTCCAGGCTTGCTGATCGAACGTGCTTGCCTGACTCCGGGAATTATCATGCTGCTGGGGAGTTGACAGATGAGTCCTGCCGTGCCTCGTGCATTGATGCAGAGGTTACAGCAGACCTAAGCTTTTCACTTGCTTGCTGCATGAGTCCCCGCAATCTTGCCACTTCGCAGTTGGTTTTTACATGCATGTTCTCAAGCCCTCCCCCCAGACCCTGTGGTCATCCGCTTCCAAGTCGCGAAGGCCACTAAAGGGCCTGGAGGGTCTATGCTCTTTCTTGGTCAGCGGCTGGGAGTGGCGGCTGAACGAAGACCTGATGCGTGGCGCCCTCTCTCAACTTCCGCGATAAATGACAGGCAAGAGCGAATTTTGCTCATTGGAGCGGGGCTTTGGAGGCTGCTTGCGCTGAGAAAGCGCCGGCACGGAAGACTCATGGCAATGGGAAACAAGCCAGTGTGCGTAGGTTCAGTTATGTTCAGTCAACCAAAACCGTACGGCACATGCCGTGCAGAGACTCGCGTTGCTGACAGTTCCTAGCGCCTTCCCCCGGAGAACTGCGAAATGAACCCCGAGATGGACTGTCTAGTCTTCAGCGCTTTGAGCTGAGTCTCCCACCAGCTCCGGAAACGCTGAGAGCTCCCAGCCTTTGAGCGGTTGCTGCTCGTGCCAAAAGGAGGCAAACGGAACTTTGTGAGGAGCAAAGCACCTTGGAAAAGGCATCCGAAGCCTCGGCCACGCAACAACTCGTGTGGCATGCGAGCAACGGGCTACTATCAAGACGCTGACGCTTGGAGAGATGGCCCCAGCGTCGTCATCCTACTTCCGGCATGTCACGAATACAACTTAAACTAAATGTCTGGCGATTCTCTCGCTTTCAGTCCAAGACAAGCCTCTACCATTTTTCTCAAAATTCCTTGCAGCACAGCCTCTCGAGAACAGACAGCCAGCACATTCAGAACAGCAGCATGGAAATCCGTTCCGACGGCCTCCTGCTTGCTAACCAAAGCTTTTGCCTTCTGGGTCCGCGCGAGACTTTGGCGCCGTTCATGCATAACCTCACCCACATACATGCATGCGTACTTCCGCTTCTTCCTTAACAGATAGATAAATGTGAACGTGAGTGTGTGTATATATATATGCTAACCCCCCATGAACTACAGCGAGGTGCCGCGGCTGCCAAATACTTCTGGCTTGGTGTTCGAAGGAGCGTTCTCGATATTGGTTAACGGCAACATGTGTTTGCAGTTGCTGGAGACGTGTGCTGACCGTTGATGGTGACGTGTGTACACAGGTCAGAAGCACTGCGGTGGTGGGGATTCGGGGATATACATATGTGCATAGCTACCTGCACAAACATACATACGCACACAAGTAGTCATACTCACACAGAGACTTTGAAGCACGCACTTGTACATCCTGCGGACATGCATTCCTGCCACGAAGCTCCAGCAAAAGTGCTTCGTCGATCTCAACATCCGAATTCACAACTTCCTATTTTCACACAGCTGTTGTTGCTGTTGTTGTTGTTGCTGCTTTTACTCGACACGCACCACGTTGAGTTGTCAGTCACTGCAAGTTCCGACTCGAGTTGAGCATTGTTCTAGCTCTGTGCTCGACAACAGATCTCTAGGACTTGTCCAGGCCGTGGTCAAGAAACCAATGAAGTAATCGAACCGTTCGCTTAGGAGGCAAGGCGAGTATGCGAGAGCCTTGTCCAGCAATGAAGTCAAGTCCATCAAATTCTTTATACAGGCCGGTATGTTCGCCACGGCGCTCCCACAACAAGGAAACATTATGAACGAGAGAGAGATGAGGTCGCTCCATCCAGCTGACGAAACTCGCCTTCAATTATTTTCGAAAAATGTGGGCGCATAGACGCGGAGCGAAGCTTGCCAGAGGTTTGTTCAACTTGCCGATTTCCATCCAACCTTTATTTCAGAGCGGGATGGAGCAAGTAACAGTGAAACTTCCTTGCTTGCAGAAGCAGGCGTTCATCTTGTTGTGTGCAGCCGCATAGGTTCCGCAAGAATGCCTCGCCAAAATCCTCGATGTCGACAGCAGATTCTCTCTCGGGGGATGTGGAAGCTGATGAAGTGGATTTGTGAAAAAACAGCTGTGGGCAGCAACAAGCTCAAATAGGAACAATCGTGTGGGATCGTTCAACGGGGCTCACCCAAAACACTTCGCCTTGTCCAGGTTCAGCCGCCTCTTACGAAGGCTAGGCGTTCAACAGGTCGTGGCCGAACACCCTCGCCGACTCCGGTGCGCGGCCGTCAACTGTAGTAACAGTAGTATGGGTCGTATCGGCGGCTTCGGCTGAAGCGCCCAGGCGAACACGCTGAGCATAGAAAGACAAGCGGAGTGCAGCATCAGAAGGGAACAGGTCCGCTTTAAAGCACAACCAGCAGAATAAGTGAAAGAACTGCAGCACAAAAGGAAACACCACCAACATGACCACACAGTCTTGACAAGTGAAGCGCGGTGGGGTGGAAACAAAGGCGCCGTAACATTCATTGACAACAGAGAGGCCAACAAATGAACCCGGGCACCTAGCCTGGCTACTCCGCCGACTAAACAAGATTAAACTGTATAACTTAGCTGGGATCTCGTGTTTGGATACTGTGACCTTTAAAACATGGGTCAGGTTAAAGTATCCGCTGAGGAGTGCGACTTGGCATACACATCGAAAACTGACAGTGACAGCCATAATGATGAGATTGAATTGCAGTTCTTCCAAACACTTCACGCAATTGCTTCAAAACTCCCCGTGGTCAGAGTCCTCAGTGTCCTGTGTAGACTCTGAATAGATTATGACGATGATTCTAGGCAGTCCGAATGACACAGTACTAGACATACGAACACTACAGTTTGCCTTGTTCGCTTTTGTCGGATGGGGGTGCTAGAATGCGCATAGCTGTGCGAGCAATGAAATTGACAGCTCCCTTCTGCTACCACGACACTGACTCCTCGTCAAACCTTGCCCAGCCCATGTCGCCCGACTCGTCTGGCGCCTCTCCAAGATTGCAAGCATGTCGGGAATCTGTGAACTACTTTCACACGCGCTCTCCTCGGCTGGGACCGCCATGGCATACAGCTCCGGCTCACATTCAATGCACAGGTAACGAGAGGATCTATGATATATCGGTTGATATGGACGGCAAAGCTGAAGGCGCCTAAATAGCCTAAATGCTGCACAACCAGTGCAAAACTTGGAACGCCTAAGATTCGCTTGGAGTATCAAACAAACCACCATTGACACTGCTTCGTACACAGCCAGTCATGTCGTGTGGAGCAGGGCCGACCAAAACAAACCTGTGGCACTGTGGCACAGTCTTGAAGGTGGTCGACTTTAAGCTGCCAGGTGCCGACAGAAGCTCTTTTGTAACTCTGTATAGGACATCGCTGGGTCATGTTGAACCAGCTGCATTGTCCGGCCGTCGACAACTGCCAAACGGGCAGTCTGCCTTCAGCCGTTCCATCGGTTTGCAATTGCTTCGGCAAGCATTGGCCTCACAGCAGAAACCAGAAGGCACGAAGAACTGAGAGCAGCAACAAACCAGCCTAGCATCGCGTACACACTTCAAGGTTGGTGCAGAGGCACCTAGCTGCAGCCGCAAGGTCCACGATGGGACTCAGCTGCCGTCCGACGCCCTGGCCACCACTAAAGGGCAATCAAGCATCACCGACGTCTTGGCGAACCTCGAGCACGATGATGCTTGTCCTGGGTATTCCGGCTCTATCGCTCTGCCGCTCCGCCCAATGGGTGCCGGTTGCTTGGTGCCGGACGCGACTGTGACAAAGCTGGTTTCCAACTTCACTCGATGCTCACAAGCGAACCTCAGTCTCATGAAAGCATAATCTTGCAAGGTCCCTGGCGTTTGCCGCTAAGGTAAGGCCATGGCGACAGCAGTTGCCCAAAGCACTCCCCCAAGCGCACCTGCATCAACGGCATCCGGACGAGCACTACTTCTGATAGAACCAGGGACCTTCCCAAGAGCAAAGCCCTTGCCACAGACTTCGCTCACAAGACTGCCAACCTCTGCCTTGGAGTGATTTCCCCTCTCGACACTGGAACCCAGAACTTCTGAGGCCCGAGCAACAAATCCCGCCTCATCTCCTGAAAGATGCTGACTGCATTGCTGCATTTATGATCGCCGGGGTGGCCCACAGTTCAGACCCTGCTTGACGCCAAGACACGCACGAGGGAGCGATCGCCGGGTGTTCGCTCAACCTCGACAACATCGGGCGATCCATCAAGCGCCAGGATCCCCCGTCAGTATCCTGTAGGCTCTGGGCCATCAGTTGTGCAGCCCGCCTGCCATCGTTTGTAGTAAGCGCCTTGCCGAGGCGAGCATGACATCTAGGGCCTTCAAGCACGGGTCAGCTCTCAGGAATCTGCGTAGAAAACGTCCGTGAAATTCCGTCGGTCCTGTGGCGCGGGGCTCTTCGAGAATGAGGCCGGAAGCAATGGTGTTTGCTTGGGGTACTGTCGATGGCCTGGCGAGAGGGCCTCTGCGTGAGCGAAGCGACGGTCGAGACATGGCAAGATTCTGCAAGATTTGCATCGGAGTTCTTTGCATTGATCGTGGCATCTCGGTGTGCGTATGCGGGCAAGAAGCGGACGGTCGCGATTGCATGATCATTCGGCAATCAGAGGAGGTCTTGTCAACAGCAAGAAGAAATTAGCGAAGTTGGCAGAATATTCGGGAAGCTGCTGATACCGGCAGTTCAGCAGTCCATGCCATGAACGGCCATGCACGAATGCAGCCTCAGATCATTTCCGGTCTAAAACAGACATGAAGTCTTCTGCTCTCTGCTAGCGCGATAGTCTGCAAAAAATCACTGGCCTGCGCAGACATTTGCACAGCCAAGCCAGCATCCAAAATCACCTCAACCCAGCATGTGCTGCCCAAGATCATGTTCAGTTGTACCATCTGAGCCGCAGGCAAGCTCTGACCGCAAAACATGGCCGGAGTCCTTTAGAGCACAACGTGTTGTCCGGCGGTACGTGCCCGACTTTCCGGAATCGGCGGCTCAGGCTAGAGCTGTACCAGCCCGACGTCTCTGGAAATGAATGTTTCCGGGATGAAGATCCTGCTGAACTAGCCAAGTCGCAGAACAAGCCAAGGCCAAGCGCCAAAAAAAGTAAAGAGCGACTGTCAAACTGGCCAGCTGACGGCATGGATGAAGTTATCCTTGAACAGCATTTGGAGGAACCTGAGCGGGAAATGCTTGCTGCCGCTGAATTGCACATGATTGGTCCCCAATGTCAACATTGCGATCGGGGCGCACATCCATACACAGTCCTCCCACCTTGGCGCCAGTGATTGAAAAGTCTTGCCGACGCGCCTCTTCTACACCACTACACCACTAGCCAAACTCGAAACAATGCCATTCTCCAAAAGTGGTGGCTTCGTAAGCTGCTGCCTACAGCCTCAGCAAGATGCCGTGTCTGCTCTAATGACATGCTGCTTTGTAACGACCGTTGAAGTGTGTACGCCGGAACACAAGACTAGTGTGTACACCGGAACACAAGACTGGTGGCTCCGGTGACGGTTCATGGACCTTTCGGCAGGTGGAAATGGACGGCACGAAATGGACGAGGACCAAGCATGCAAATCTTGAGTTGTGGACAAAAACACGCACAACAGCCACATCTGGGCTTACTGGATTCTTAGCACGAAACTGAGGGCAGGACTTCCTCACGGAGTTCTTCCACTGGCACATTGAGCATTGCTCCTGGTGTCACTGTGCCTCAAGGTCTGGAGTCGCTGCTCTGGACCGACTAAGTCTACATGTGAACAGGCACCGAGTTCCTCGCAATCTCGATTCGCCCTATATGCCTTGTAGCACTAGTCAGTGTTGCAAGCCCAGAAACTACACTGCCGACCCATGACTGCCGAAAATGATGGTGGGTGTCGTGTCAGTGGGCGCATCAGTTTAGCAAGTGTAGTGAAGCGGGGAACCACAATCTTTTTATTTTCTGAATTGAAAGGTGCCACACACACAGGTTCGCACTCGTCGTGCTCGATATCCTTTATGTAAGTGCAAGAAGCACATGCTACAGGCAGGAGGTGCAGCAGATGCTTCCCTTCGAAATGGCATGAAGCGCGCAGTACGGAAGAACGAACTTCCACAAGCACCTCTGTCTCGCCAAAAATCATACATGACACAGCAGCAACAACAGCAATCCTCCTTTCAACTTCACGAGAGCAGGCTGGGCTACCGACCTGTCCAAGGACAGCTTGCAATGGGATACCATCCTCCAATGACTCCACCTCTGAACATCGAAGCAATCACCACTCGGCGACGTATCTGCTCGGCTCCCGGCTAGCAACTCTTTGGTTACATACGGCCGCACGACCTGCAATCAGGAGCTTCGAGACATTCGATAGGCAGTCTCGACGGTCCCTGGTATAAAAAATGAAAGGAAAAACCGAATGAAGCAATTTGTAGAGCGACAAGCCACAACACTATCAGATACCATAAGGTTTTCTATTGTAGATCAGCATATAACGTTTCACACAGACTGTTGTGCACATCGGTATCGGCAGTCTCTACATCAACATGGCAGCGACAGCATAGCACTGGATGCAAGCGCACGTGCTGTTTATTACTTATGTGTAATCAAGGTCGCTGTTCAATGCATGGGAGCATTGGAATGCCCACGTGCCTACATTCTTACAGATGATGGACCATGAAAAGCTGAAAAAACAATGCTAGATTCGGACTCCTGTAACTTTCAACATTCCGCCAGCAGAAGGTCTCGTAGAATACTCCCACGGCAGACCAAAGGCAAGCAGCCAAACGAAAAGAACGAAGCGCAACTCGCATGTACCCGGCCCAGAACAGCGAAAGCAACCGCAAAAAAAAATCAAGGTGCATAAGGTGCCTTTGAGTCGCAACAGTAACACGGCTTTCAACTCGAGCCACAGCCCTGACCAAATCTCGATGAGGCTATCGCTTCGTCTGCGCCCCGAAGGGCAGTGTCTGTCACTCACGTGGGAATGTGGGGCACGGAGCATTGACGGCACAAGTACAGGGTTTGTATCCAGAAAGGCCAACATGGCGCGCCAAGATACAATGGCGCCGTGGTCAGGAGTTCTTCAGAATCAGCAATACCCAAAACTCTTCTGGGTGCCACTCCATCTAATTATGATTCTGAGTTCTACAGCTTTCAATTTACCCAAGTCACGACTTCAAGACCCTGCTGCAGCAGGGAGTCTGCAGTATCAGCAGACACTTTTCCAAGCCGGCTTGCATTGGCCACTTTGTCACGTCCCTGCGCCTGCCAATCCTTCACATGTGTGTCATCATCAGCATCACCGGCAACTGGGTCCTTCGAGATCTTTTTTGGCATTGCTGCATCAACGATGTTTCCATTATTTTCCGAGCTTAAAGACGCCGCTTCCCAGAATCTCAGTTACGCCACTGTCAAGTACAACAAGCACAGGCAAGCCCTCTACAGTAAGGCAACACACGGCGATGAGAGCTCGATGCAAACGAACACTCTTAGAAAGTTTTGTCAAGCTCTAAAATCCTTTCTCCGGCCTCAGGGAATCTGACTCGGTGTCCTCTGCCCGTGCGACGGTAGGGGAAGTTCTTGTTGAAAACGTCCAAGTTGTCGGCCTTTCTGACATCTCAAAACAGCCGCGCAAGCCCACAGGAAAACTGTTGAAGCTGACACGCAAGCCTCGATTCGCAGATCTGCCTGGCACAAGTCCGACTTTCGACGAAACTTACGAACGGACCTTCTTTTTGGATGGCAAGGAAGCACATCGCGCCGGGTCCGTCCCAATCGCCAGTACTGGGCTGGCGGGCGCCGGGGACGGCTTCAGCATCCCGTCCCGCCGCCCGCCAGCGAGCGAAGACCCTTAGGTCTCTGATGTGTCGAAGTTGTTAAAACCATAGGTGGAGTGGGTGGGTGCTGAAAATCGTTGGGCGACGCAAAGCCGGCAACAGCTGCGGCATATGCGTCAATCGACGGACATGTCCTTGCAACTGCATGTGTTACACATCATCTTCCATCAGACTCAATCCCTTGAAAGAATCGGCCCCGCCTGGGGTCGAACAAAGGCCTCAAAGTGCGTGACTGCCTCTGACCTGCAGTTGCACACACTGCAATATGGCATGTCTAAAGCACTGGCTGCCAGTCACGGTCAGCAACTGCTGTGACTCTCGTGCTCAGGAGCTGTCAGAGCAAGGTAGCGCGACTGTGGCCATGCCGCCTCCAGCAACAAGCAGTCTGTAAGTAGCAGCAAGAAGGCTGCAAACGGCCTCGATGAGTCCAACAAGGAGCCACATCACCTGGTGACATCTAGCGAGACAGTGCAGAAGAGCTTCGACATTCGCTTTGCGCCAGAGGTACGATGACGCCTCTTTTACTCGAAGCTGCTGTGTCCCACGGTCTACGACTCGGGAAGCGCAAAGGAAGGCCGTCTCAGGACTCAGATGGATCTACTAGAACCCATAGCTTCCGAGACACAACCCGAGAGCGAGCCCTTTGCATCCTCCAGAGCCAGGGTCGTGCGAGTCCCAACTTTGATCACCCTTCAGGTGTCAAGACTGTGTGCGACAACGCCAGAAAAGCACGTCTCACTGCTGTAGCGACTTGCTGATTCTCAGAAGCGCTGACAAGGCAACCTTATGAGCTGCGAAGAGCTGCGAATGCCACTACATGCTTGAGAAACTGCCATCAGAAAGGCCAAACTTGTGAGCCAGGGTAGACAGCACATGCCGTATAAGTACATCATGAACAAACCGTCCTCCCTGGAGCTGGACCTGATGCAGGAACGACCTCGCCCGTGTGGCGGAGAAGAAACACGGTGGCTGATGAAAAATGCGAGGAGCTGAGAACACTTCCAGAAGCCCTCAGCTTTGCTCGAGGAGCCTGGAACCCTGGCTCTCAGCTTTATATCTATACAATCACCCCCTGCGAGGCTCAAAGTAAATCATTCCCGACACATCGCCATGAACTCCTTGAAGTCGATCTCTGCGTCTCCATTGAGATCAAGATCCTTCAGCGTCTGAACCTGCGCACAGCACCGCAGAACCTGCCTGTTTGCCATCTTCGAGTCTCTTCACTGAGACCATGGCCAGTTCAGTGGCTTTAAGATGGCCAAGCAGCCTTCCTGCGAAGCACAGGCAACAGCAGAGAGTGCAACCTACTCCTTTGAGGTACCCAAATTTGGGCCCCGGCCTTCCGCTAGCTCACCTCAATAGAAGCGATGAACCGGCGTGCATCGCACAGCTAAAGCGATCACACGAAAAAATGCGCCACCTTCCAAGCCCCGCTAAGTCAACCCGGAAATGGCAGCAAAGAGGCTCAGCTGAATACAGCCATCTCCGTTTTTGTCGAAGCCTTAGCCGGAATCTGGACGAACCGTAGATCAGAGCAGTGTGCAGAGGTCGACAGGGAAGCCCACATGGTAAGGTCCGAATATGTCCGGATGTCACCTAGCAGAAGCCTGGACTGACTGAACGAGGTGCCCGAAGGTGGTATCTTGCACTGACTCCAACACTGAGCACATGCTGTGACTGCGGTGTAGCACGCACCACCTGAAGCTGCTTCTGCTGCTTGTGTGCGTGTTCAGTTCATGTGTCTGTCTCTCCATGTTTGCGTGTGCTCACTGTCCTCCATCATGGGCACAGGGGTCACTCCAATATGTCCGTGGATTTATGAAGCTGTGCTTTAGTCTTTTATTAGCCTGCCGAGCAGCTGTTGAAGATGACCTTGCCGACTTTTTCGGTAAGACATTTCTTGCGATTGAAGGTAGCTGCGATGAACTCTGTGAATGTGAAGTCCTGAGAGCAGAAGCAACATCTTCTCTTGCTAGCCCACGGATGGGGTTACAACCGAATCGTGGGTCATGTTTAGATGTGAAAACATACGAGTCCGCCTTCTCCAGCCAGACCTTGGGATGCTAATTGCAGTAGTTTGGTTGCAGATCTTCCTGTTGGCCGTATGTTCTTTATTTGTCTGACCAGATTTTGCTGATGCACCTCTTCACGCATCCAAAACCTGACAGCCCTAACACACCCAAAGTCTTTCCACCTGCGCCCCGACCCTGTCATTATTCCTACGAAAGACCACGTACAATCAGACTAGGCGCAACTGGTTGCCACTGAAAGACTCGTCAGTCGATGCAACAGGCAGAACTATCGTGAGAATTCACGCGGCGTGCGACACCGGCCTGGATGGCTTCCTCGTGGCCATCAGCTTTGAAAATCTTGATCGCATCTTTCTTCTTGATGGACTAGCAGGTGCATCAAGCAGGATCTGCACTCCGTTCCACGCAGCCTGAGTAAGCAAAGCCTGCCTTCTGACCCTTCGATCCACTTGCTGTGGCCTGCATGTCAATTGCACCATATGGCCAAGATGAGGTGGAGCATCAGTTCTTTTCTTCTTGGAGCCTTCGAGAGCGCCACCAGCTCCGACATAGAGACGAAGCCGTTGCAGTCGTCGTCCATCGCCTCGGGGCGACGACGACTTCGAATGCCAAAGAAAAGTTGTCTTTTTTGTCCTCTTGGGCCGAGCCACCAAGAAAAGCTGCCTGCAGGGTCCGACCTCCGCCTCGCCCAACATGCATGCTGTCCTTAGCCCAAAACTCTCTCGACGGCTTTAGCCGCGTCCGAAACTCTGAAATCGATCGAAACTGCACATATGCGGCAAAGGCACATGTTCAAGCAAGCTCTCTTGAACTTGTTCAGAGATCTATAATTCTTCAGCCCTTCAATGTGCCTGTCCTCCTGAGCAGGCTGATCACGAACAAGGGTGCACTTTCTTTGTAGTGCTGTAAGCACAAAGTGGCAACTCGGCCGCCAACGATCACACCAACGGGCAGTTTCGGCGCAATCTTCGTTATAAACGGATGCTCCAGAGCCTCCCCGTAGTGGACTCAAGTGTGCATATCCCTTCTCCACTCACAGCATGCGCAAAGCTGTAACTTTGATGAACTGCCTGCCTTCTTGCAGTCCAACCGCTGGGAAGCATCTTTATGCAGCATTGCAGTTACGATGTTCACCACATCCTGAAGGCCAGAAAGGGTCGCCAACACCAATCCGAGCTTCAGGCGTTTCTCAAACTCAGGTTGTGCTGCCGTCCGCTGGGTCCTGGCCGGCATTCACCCAGGCCTGGAACGGAGAAGATCAACACCAGGCTCAACATTCCACAAACTGGAAGGATGCAAGTCGTATGGGAAAGTTACTTGGAAGGAGCCTACATGGCTGTTGATCTAAATTGCTTCATCCCGGAATGACCTTCCTCACAAATCTAAAATTAACTTCAGCACCGCCATCACGGAACTTTCGCAAAGGCATATTTACATACCTTTGCAAGTTAGAACCCTGAGTTATAAGCTATAAGCTTCGAGATGACAAGTTTCTACGGGCATTATAATTGAGAGCTTTTGGCAGGCTTCCTAGGCGGGTTCGACAGGCTTTCGTACCAACGGAGGATTGAAAAGCTTTCTTCATGGGGCTGTTCGAAGGGTCGTAAGGGCTTCCTAGGAGGTGCCCCTTTCGCCAGCCACTCGCGAAATGCACCGACAATGTCCATTGGGGGGTGGCTTTGATCTGGCTACGTCGACTTTAACGTCACTTATGCGGAACTCACGCGGAACTTACGCGGAACTTATGCGCTAAACCCTGTACAGGAACCGATTTTTGGGTTTGTCGTTGATAAGATTGTGCGTAGTAGGTATGGCAAGTAAGTGGAGACTAGTAACAGTAGCAGTAGCAGCAGTAGCAGTAGCAGCAGTAGCAGCAGCACCAGGAGTAGCAACAGCAGTGCCAGTTGCAGTAGCAACAGCATGAGAAGTGGTGATAGAGTAATGGCCCAAATATTAGAAATAGAAGCTATAAGAATAATAGCAATAATAGCAACGACAGTAGTAACAAGAATAATAATGGTAATGATAGTAACAATCGTAAAGCAACAGTAATAGCAATATGCATAATACTAGTACCAGTACCACTACCAGTACCAGTATTCGTAGTAGCACCAGTACTAGTACTCGTACTAGTAACAGTTAAAGTAACAGTAACCTTATTCGTAGCAGTGACAGTACTAGTAATAGTAATATTGGTGCTCATAGTATTAGTACAGTTACTAGTACTAGTAATAGTAACAGTAACAGTAATAGTAATAGTAATTGTGACAGTAGTAGTAACAGTAATAGTGGTAGTAATAGTATTAGTAGCAGTTATAGTAATAACAATACGGCAAGTAGGCTAAACAGATAACTGTCGCAGAAAAAAACTAACGTCAGCGGCACCATCGCAGAACTTTCGCGAAGGCAAATTTAGCTATGCAGTTGTCGATCAACTACCACATGCAAAGTAATAACAGGCCCCACAAGCCTAACGCCGTCCTCATGCCCCAGTGAGGAGTGATGAGGTCTGCTTGCATGTGCGTATGTGTGTGTGTGTGCCCCTTCTAGCCCTGTCACGCTGCAGTCAAACTCACGGTGATGATGATTAACGAAAACCCATTGTGGTCTGGGGATGCTTGTCACAGTGTGAAGTAGTGGCAATGACTCAAGTTTCTAGCTCTTGCTGCCAGGGAGCGCTGGACGAGAACTGGAGACGAGCCTTCGAATTGTCTTCGCTCGGCCCACCCTGCCAGACAGTCCATGTGCCACAAAAACCGTTCAGCGAAACGCATTCAATGACAATTAACATGTCTCTTGCCTGTCCAAAGGGTAGTCGTCGCGACCTTGGTCTCGAATGATACAGGTTGTAGGAGGTTCAAAAGCATTTAAATGTCGAGTCGATCTTGGAACCTTTGAACCACAGGCATTCCTGCCGTTAGCACACCTGTCCAGTTCTTCCCTGGCCTCGCTTGGCTGTACACACCCTTTTCTGCACGAACTTATATGAATGCTCCACAAACACTCCTTCCACGGTTGTCTAAATGCTCTCGTGCTTGTAGGGATATAATGAGCACATGTGGACATGCAGCTTAACATACATACATTGTACATACAGACAAACAGACAGACAGCAAGAAAAAAATCGACAGACAAACATACGTGTATTATATATATATATATGCGTAGTTACGATTACATACATACATACATACATGCATGCATGCATACATACTTATTTACCTACTTACTTACATACGTAAACATCCATGCATGCATGCATGCATGCATGCTTACTTACTTACTTACTCACTTACTTACACATCCATGCATGCATACACGTACATGGTACATACATACATACATGCATACATACACACACATACATATATACATACGTACATACATTCGTACATACATACGTACATTCATACATAC